AAAATTATATATTGCTTTGGGTAGTATGGACATTTTAACAATGTTGATTCTTCCCAGCCATGAGCATGGTATGTTTTTCCATTTGTTAACATTTTCTTAAAGCCAGTTTTCTTCCAGGTCTCCAGCATCTTTGTTGTTCTTGGAAATCCCAAAGGACCCTGCACTGTGTGCCTTCACACGTGTTATGTAAATTACCCCGTAGGGCTAATCTGTGTGGTAGGTGCTGTTAGGCTCCCATTTCCAGATGAGAAAACTGAGGCTCCTAAGTAAAGTGATTCCGACCTAACTTGTTCTGACTCCTGAGTCCAAGCTCCTAACTATCATGATATGGTAACTTCTTGATATGTGACTCAGTTTTCAACTGAATGCTACAGATAGCCAGGGGAAGGCGAGATTTCCATGCTCTAGAGAGAACTTATAAGTCTTCATGAAGTAGAAATTCAAATGGCTCTAAGGAGATGGAAGAGTGATACAAATTTTCCACGAATATACCTTATCCCTACTTTGCTCACCCTCCAGGCTTCTCTTGCCTCAGTTATACTTTCATGAAACACAACTATCCAGCATACATAACACCTCAAGCAGCCTTAGTGCCAGAGAGTATGTATGCACCCAGAAGAATGTCTGAATTCTGATTACTCTGACAATAGAGCATCCTTGTAGCCAGAACTAAAATCGTAAGAGTCGGTTGCAGACTTTTGCCAATGCAATTTGTGATAAAATTGAAACATTGCCTTTCTTATAAAATATTCTTCAGCAGCCTTTAAACTATAAGTGAGAAAGAGAACAGTGGCCTCCTGATCGAGCTCATTCTGTCATGAGGTAGCTTGGAGACCAACATTACAAAGGGCAAGCTGAGCAATGATTATTTATGGACTGAAAAGGCCGAACTCTTGGTTGCCCTGGATACTGTGTTCTCATCACTGTCCTGTTCTGGCATGGACTGAAGTCTCCTGCATGATAACTACCCTGATCTAAAAGTATACAGTCAAAAATAATATCACTGGTAATGAACTTAATAACCCTTCCATTTGACCAAACAAGAAATTCAGAACAGTCTATTTTTTAGACAGAGAAACATTGAAAATCCTACCTTTAGTATTCATAAGATATGTTTATTATTACATCAAATTCAGTCTTTTCTAACAGTGGAACAATCACCAAATGGAAAATTGTATTCCTTAATGAACTCCGCATCTCACTACTCATACAGAGTTTAAATAGAGCAATTTACAAGCACCCTCATGCTCCATCTGAGAACTTATGCTGTTCTCTTTAGAAGTTATACAGGGACAAGAAAAAGAAGAAATGAAAGCATTCGTAGCTTCATTTATCACTTGATATCCTACTCTTGTATCTCAGTGAATAGTGCCATCATCCAAACTGGTGCTCAAGCAAGAAATTTGGAAGACATCTTCCCTTCTCCGGCTCCCTCGTTCCCCCCTCTCTGATTGGCCCCTGGTGCTGAGCATCTCTCTCCTTTCAACCTCTTACCTTGGCGATTTCTTTTTCTTTTTTCTCCCCTCTTCATCCCATGCCAGATTATGTCCTTTATTCTTCCTCTGAATTCCTTCAGCAGTCCCCTAAACTCTCTTTCAGTCCAAGCACCATAGCCTGGTGGTTAGGGACATCAGCTCTGAAGTCAAATTGCCACAGTTCAAATTCAAGCTGTGACCTTAGGAAACACCTCACACTACATCTCAAACTTAATAAGCATTTAATAAATAAAGGTTAGTTGCATTATTATCATCATTACTTTTCACATTCGTGATCTTTCTAAAGCCCAGATCTGATCTGCTCTCTTCCCTTTGTAAAGCCCTTCAGTGATTCCCACTGCCTTTTAGTGTGGCTTCTGAGGGCCGTTGTGATCAGAGAGCATCCCCTCTCAGCCTCATCTCTCACTGCTTCCCACCTCCCCCTCCATGCTTTAATCTCGGTTGTAAT